TGAGACACACAGATTAGCGCCGTTGGTCCGCCATTTTGATTTTTAATGATATCAATATACCCTATGACACTCGCGTTTAAGGAAAGAATCGAAGTACAGCATATTTATTAATTACTAGCATTGCCCGCGGCTCCGCCCGCGTTCAGATGACCAAAAACTAAATTCTTAGGTGTTACATATTAGTATACTCTTACATTGCAGTTTTTGTATTTTTCCTCAGAAATAAGATATTTTCCCGCGGTAAAAAGTATCCTAGGATCGCGCGCTACATCGCCCGGTTTATATAGCTTGAGCAGGCGGTCGAGCGATGCGGGGCAGAGGGGATGGACTCGCCGTAGGCATCTCAATGCTCGCCAAGCATTAAAAATGTTTCGCTACTAATTACTTCTAACAACGATATCTCAAAAACTATTCATCTGATTGATTTAGTGTAAAGAGCAATTTTAATCTGCATTAAATGACTAAGCTAACTAAAATATTCATTTGGATAAGGATTAATACCGAACTAAAGAAAATAACTTTGAAAATAACGTAATGTTTTTAATTAAAAATGTTAACATAAAAGTGGTTATTGTAAGTCAACCGTAAGAGATAGAGATATGCTATCGCGGACTTTTTTGTAGCATTTTTATAGATTTTGAATTCTCTAGTACATTACTTAACTGTATCTTTGCTAGTTTACGCGGCGTTCGCGTGGAAAGTTCCCATTTGGCGGGATTTTTTGCGACCTCTTCAACATTTGTCGCCGTATTTCAGCTAATTTACATAAAAGCATAATAAATTATATACCTAAACCTTCCTCAAGAATTACTCTTTCTATTGTTGAAAACCGTATAAAAATCCGTTCAGTAGTTTTCGAGTTTATCGCGTACAGACAGACAGGAGGACAGAAAGACGCGGCCGGGGGACTTATTTTTATAATAAGTATAGATATCTTCGTAAGTTATGGTCCGATTTTGAAAATTCAAAAAGATATATCATTCTTATGTCTTATTAAATAACGTGGATACTAGTTCTATGGAATTTGCTATAACTGTACTGATCCTCATTTGAGAAAGTAGGTATTTATTAATATAATCCTTTCATATTCAGTTATATTATAATAATAGTATTAGGTCTAATGTTATATTATGTATATAAAGAATGTTTATTAATTTAAACTTTTTTCTTAATCTTTACAATAGGTACCTAATATGAATAAGAATTTATAATTAATACAAAGAATAACAATAAAAAATTAAAAATTAACAACAATGTATATAATAAAATTATTCATAAGTTAATCATTTACAATATTTTTATTTAATGAAGTAGTTTTCTTTAAGTTTTTATTTTCCATTTTTAGAATAGATATAGTAGGTAGAGGTACCTAGTGCCAAAGTAAGAGGTCAAACAATAAAAATTATATTTATACGCGTCGAATTGAGAACCTCCTTTTTTTTGAAGTCGGTCAATTAAAACTATATCTCTCGCTATGCAGGACCCTCGGGAACCGATGACAGTGATAACCTGTTAAAATCATGCATTATCTACTGTGATCACGCGAACATGACCGGAAAGGTATACAATATGTGAACTATCGGAACTAGATAGTTCCGCGAACATGTTTCGTGAACATAGTTCCTTTATGAAAAGGATTCCATGTTTAATCCACTCCAGGACCTAGTTTGCGCATCTCTGCTCTTGATCCTTATGCAATTAATGATTGGCCTCCTAGGGATTCATCCGAGCAATGTCTTGACTGAGGTTAAGTCTCTAGTTATATATAATATATTTATTGTTGAACTATTAATTTAAAAACATTTGACAGAGCAATAGAAATATAAAATTAAATAATGACACACATTAGAAATTTAAAGTACCACTCTATTTTTACAAAACTGCCCACCTGAGCCTAAAGTGCAGTAATAGGCATTTTGGTCGGTTTTGAGTTAAATATATATTCTAAATCCCCATTTTAGTAGCTATCAGTCAAATTAATTCTTTTTTCTGTAGCGCTAATAAAAGTATTTTATTTTAATGTTTTTTCGGAAGGTGTAACAGCAAAAATATCACAAATCTGTTAAAATATTCCATGTTTACCAGCTAAACCGCAGTACAATTAATACTGCACAAGATTTTTCTCTGTTTCCTAACTAAACTGCAGTGTTTTATCATATTTTGTGGCACTTAAAATAGTAGTTTGTTCTAGGAGATTCAAGAAAAAACTTATTAAAATGCAGTATTATTCGACTCTATACAAATTGATTATACTGCAAAGGTTAAGAAAAAATATTTTTTATTTATATTCCTAATTAAAGTGCAGTATTAACATTCCATACTGCACATTAACTTGTGGGGGATTTTGTAATTTCTTGTGAAAAACTAAAAGACATGCAGTATTTAATAACTTTACTGCAGTTTAACTTGTAGGATGTTTTGTAGTTGCTTGTAAAAGACCATTTAGTTTACAATATTTATAAATTTTACTGCATATTAGTTAGTTTGCTTCATCCAATTCATACTACCTAAAATACTTAAAGTCAAATACTATTCCCTAATACTGCGTTTTAATAGGTAAATTATTAAAATATTAAAACACAGGACAGGCAATATCGCGGTTTGAGGCAGTCTCCTTAATCTGTGGCTTAAGGCTGACTTGACGTGCCATGCTGTGTCTGTACCAAAGAGATATGGAGGGTAGAACTAAGGAGAACTATTTCTGGTATAAAAAGTGACCGCTGACAAACATTAAATTGGTGGCGCCACAGAAAACAAGTATATGAATCTATACATCTATACAGATAAATAAAATTGTAGTGTCTGTTTGTAATATCAAAATAAACCTTTTTACTAAATGCATATGAAATTATATACGGTACCTATAAGAAAAACTAATTTTTAAATTTTTTTGTCTGTCTGTTTGTTCCGAATAATCTCTGAAACGGCTGGACTGTTTTTTGACGGACTTTCAGTGGAAGGTAACTGATGTTATAGGGAGTAATATAGGCTACTTTTATTTAAAAAAAAGAATTAGAGTTCCGCTCAAAAAAAAGTATCCAGGGACGAACCCGAGTGAGGCGAGGGTGAGTCGCTAGTTTAAAACATAACGTCATAAAAGTAAGAAGGTGAATTAAAGAAGGAAAGAAAGATTTCCGCTTTGCTGTGGCGCACTTTTCTAAATAGTTCTAGCATAGGCAAACAGCAATATAATTATATATTATTTTCAAGTAATAATAATTCAGCACACTTCACTCCGTTAAAAACTACTAACTTCACATCACATCTACTTGCTACGCTAGTGCTGTAAAGCCTAGTTCGCATTAAGCTAGTATTTTAGTCTAGTAGCGAGTAATTTAGTAGCTAAATTACTCGCTACTCACCAAAACTCGTTCGCACTTTGGTCGAGTACAGTTTACAAATGAGTGGTGTTTTGAAAGATGAACAGCCTACAACGCAATAAAGTAAATAAACTGATTAAGCTGATCGTAACGGCTATTTTAGAAGAGGTGGATGAGGAAATTTGTGTGATTAATAAAAAGAAGCTATGGTTACGAAAATGGATCGAAAGACAAGATAAACTAGGAGCTACTAATTGTCTTCTGAAGGAATTAGCATTGGAAGATCCCAAAAAATACTTCGATAGTTTGAGAATGTCCGAAAGTTGTGTAAATTTTCTGTTAATGAATGTTATGGCGGCAACTAATGAACTCGACTAATTCGACAGGTTCGTACTTGTTTAGCCGGTGAACCAGTAAGCTCAGACGCGTGGTGGGGGCTGCTACTCGCCCAAAAAAATAGAATAAAATGGATTGACTCGACTAAATTACTTACTAAATTAATCGACTAAATTTTTAGTGTTCAGACACGTTCAGTTACTAAATTACTCGCTACTAGACTAAAATACTAGCTTAATGCGAACTAGGCTTAACGGTGAGTTTCTGAGCTATAATTTGCTGCTCACTACTGGACACTTTTTCAACCTGTTTCCCATATAAGTTAATTCTCCTTAGTTCTCCCTTCCATAATCTTTTCAGACTATTATTTTTGTAAGACAAGAATACTCATTTAGTAATTAGTTATGTTCAGAAGAAAGATTTTATGTAAATTTTATTGATCCATGCATGAGAAATACATGTGATATAGTTTTATGGTGGATTAACTAGTTAAGATTGTCAACATCTTGTAAAGATTGTTATATTGTTAGTCATATAAAACAATTTACACTATTAGATTATAATGTACAATGTTTTGATGAATAGTTTTAATAGCATAGTCATAAATGCATGTCCAGTTTTGTTTAAGAAATTACATATTTTTATCAAAATTAAAGGTAATTTTATATTACTATAAGTGTGGAATATCAGTGTTTTGTTCAAAAAAACAAATTAAATAGCAGTATTTTCATAATATTACTGCACTTTAGTTAGTAACAATCATGGAAGAAATGTCTAAAATGCAGTAATAACAGGATTTACTGCATTTAAAACCAGTTTTGAAAAGATTATACAAATAAAGTGTGTGTAGTAATAGGGGCAAAAAAATTAAAATTGCCATAATTATAGTTTTTTATAAAAAAACTAACGTAACAATGTTTAGTATTTTAGTTTGGTACATATTCTTTCACTTTCCATTCAAGGTTTTGTCGAAAAGTCCCTTTTTGATATATTTTTATGGATTCTAAACTTTAAGCGCGTTTTTCTCGAATTCGTGTTTTTGCTGTTACTGCACTTTAGGTTCGGGAGGGCAGAAAATGTAAGATAATCAAAAATATAGGATTTTACAGCGGTGTCAAAGATTAAAAATGATCGTTTGCTTATGGTACATATTGTACAAAGATTATGACAATGACATTTTTATTTATAAAGACACAGAATGTCATTGTCAAAGGTATAACTACTTGGAGCGAACAGCGACCGCTGGTACGAAAATAGTACTGCCAGAGTTTAAATGAGGTTGTTTCGTGAAAGTTAACTTATTTTAGAAATTAGTAGAGAAGTTTCGGTTCCCGAAATATTATTATGGCTACAACGGCATATGAACATGATGCTGACGGTGAGAATGGAATTTATAAATATTGGGGGATACGCCAGTGCACTAACAATCAATATGTCAATATTTATATTTGCAAAGCATAATTGCGTTTTTAACATGTTGAAAAGAAATACACAGATGTGTTTTCATTTCGTATAACTCTACTTTCATATAAAAGCAGTGAATAAAATTGTGTTAATAATTAATTTCGTGCCATCTGTAGAAAGTGAACTAATAAATTATTGAACGAAATTAACCGTTTAATATTTAATAGATCTCTTTTTATAGATATTTATCGATTACGATATATCAATGGAATATTAACAGCGTGTTCAATTTGTCATATGGTTATATTTATCAGAATAAAAAAAAATATATATAAATAAAGCTACCTTTTAGGCTCTAAGTTTATACCGGCCACTCAGCGCCCAGATGGCACCTGGAGAAAGCCAAGACGTATAAAAGATGGCTATGTGCCACAGGAAGAGGTGCCATTGTATGAGAGTAAGGGCAAGCAATTTAAAGCAAGACAAACTACAGGACTCCCAGTTGGACTTACTCCAGAAATTGCAGCTGAAGTAAAAAAATCTAAAAAGGGTACTATACAACCCATACCCGGCATGATCATCAATGTTGAGAAGAAGAAAAAGAAAAAGAAGACTGGTCAGTGCATTTTTTATTGTTGATGTTATTTAATCTTGCAAATCTATATCGGATTTATGAATACAAAACATTTTACATTTTTGATCTATTTGCATAAGCATTCATCAAAACAGTGAAGCTGCTAGTTACCTGATGACTGTAAACCACATAGAAATTATTTACCTATTATTAAAGTTTAATGTTATGACATTTATATGTCAAAAATGTTGGTAACATTAAACTTGTATGTTACAGAACATATTATGTATTTGATTTTTAGGATCTTATAGTCAAAATGGAACCCTTATAATTTTGTCAAGTCTATTGGCCCATGTGTCATATCCATTTTATTTGAAGTCTATTGCAGATTGCTGAAGCTGCTAGACAATTCTATAGGAAATTATAGAAATAAAAAAAATAAGGGTGGCACTCATACATATTACTGTGGGGTGATCATTGTTTTTGTAAGTCTACATAATATGTATGTGGGGTATGGATAGCTCTTTAAAATTTAGTTGAGTGATTTTTCTGTTTAAGCCCATACTTGCACTTATATGCATCCAAAGCCATAAAAATTGTTGCCCATTGATTTTCTATGGTGCTGTCATACTTTGAATGTTCTTGAATGTAAAAAATTAAATTCAAAATACAGACATACAAACTATAAAAATCCCATTAATGATTGGCATTTTTTAAATACTGATTATAATTTATATGTAAATACTTAATTATTAATTATTGTTATAGGAGCAGATGATGTGTTAGAAAAACTTTCAAGATGTGAAATAACAGAGCCAACATTTACCAACTCTTCCCAAACTCCCACCACACAAGCAGATCCTTTTAAAAGACTAAAGAATCTGAGAAAGAAGCTAAGGGAAATTGAGGCACTTGAGGAAAAAATTAAATCAGGCTCCTTGAAAAACCCTGACAAAGAGCAGAAAGAGAAAATTACAAGAAAAAATGAAATAATTAAAGAAATAGAATCATTAGAGAAAGTTAGTAACGAGTAAGCCAAAATAATAATTATATAAGATATATTATTAACAATGAATTTTTTATTTTAAATTTGTCTTGTATATGTGTGCAGATTTTTAGCATCGGCAAGATTAAATTTTATTTACAAATACTATTTTATTTTTATTTATAATGTACACATCTAATTTTAGTTTTTTTCTTACATTTTGAGATAACCTATAAAAGTCCTGTGTTCTTAAAATTAGAAAAAAAAAGCTGCATTTAATATTGACATCATTTATGAAGTATTGAAATATAAAAAGGAAATTAAAATTAACATTAAATATCTTTCAATTTAAAAACAGTGCTTTATATAAAAAAAAAACAAAGATGTTTTTAATCATTACAATTACTATAAAAAGATAATAATTTAATTGTATTTCTTGTTCTTTTCTATACATAAAGCCTACACCAAATAATAACAAATTTCATTATTCTTAATATTTGTATTAGGTTCTCATAAATAGATTTACAAAGTTTTTATATGGTGAAGATCATATTGTATTTCTTTAATATTGTGCAAAGTATCTCATACATACATATACACAACATATCTCAATATAATAAAGATAATATGATTTTTGATGGAACACTTAATTTCATGTGAATTAAGCTTTTATGTTCTTGATTATATTTATACCTGAAATATAAAAAAAAGTAATTAGTTTATTTTTGTCAATAATTAACTTTGAACATTATGACTAGATATTCATTTACCACAATTTTATTTTCATTCATAGTTTACATGTGTATTATATGCAATTCAAACTGAGGTTCAGCTAGTTAGTTTTACGAGCAAATTAATGTTATTTTTACAATACGTCAAAAGCATCAAGATTCATTATTAAAATATTAGAAATAAAACCAGTTTGTAATATTACAACCAAATTTATTTATGCATACCCGATATGTTGCGTAGTTTAAAAATACTTACATAAAATTGTTCTAAATAAACTCGTTTCTCGCTCTCTGCCTCGCGTATTTACCTAAGCATGCGAGTATACCGACTACAGTTATTCCGACACCCAAAACTGTTGCTAAAAAATCGCCAAAATCATAACTGCCTGCTGCTTCCACGTTACTTACAGCTAACACCGAAAATATTAGTACAAATACTTGCAGAAACATTTTTACGTAGTAACTAAAAAGTCAATATTAAATTCCACACAAAGGCAACAATCGCAAGTCATATGCCACAAGTCACAACTTTCAATCATCAATGTGTTAACTGTTAGGTAAATGCAATGACCAATGAAACATCTCTATGGGTAAATGTCAAAACTCAATTGTCTGTTGTGTTGTGACTTGTGAATTTGTGTTCTAAATTCTATATAAACTAAGTGATACCAGTGGTAAAATTTCTAAACTCTTAATGATTCTATTATGTATTTAAATCATTCGTATGTTTATATTGAAGAGGGATCAATCGTACTTCCAGAAGGACTCTTGAATCGACCTCCCCTTAAATCTATATATTTTGGGGGAGAGGGGAGGGGAGGTGTAGATCACCCCCCCCGCAAAGGAAAAGTGGCGGAAAAGAAAATTTCTTTTTATGAATTTTTAAAAATCTCATTTAGAGTTTATGGCATTGTTTTGACTGTTCTAACCTAACCTAACCAAGATCTAGACGACAATTATCTAAGTTGTAACCTAACCACAAAATTCTTACCTAACTTGTCAAAATGAATGACTTAATGTAAAGGGCAAATTTTATTGCTATCACATATTTGTGATAATGATAAATCATTTATTTATATTAAATAGGCCTTTTAGATGCCTTAGATAAGTAACTAAAATATCTAAATAGATTGACACAAAATCAAAATTTTCGTTGTTATTGACTCAAAAAAATCTGAAATGACTGTGAAATTGTTTAAACCAAATAAAATATTGAGAATTTTCAAACAAAAATTAAAATACGCGTGAACTTATTATTTGCAAAATTAAAACGCGTAATTAAAACTCCCTAAAATAGCAACACTTCTGTCAAAATTACGTCAAAAACAATAAAATAATAGTCACTAGCGACTCACCCTCGCTTCGCGTTTTAAATTAAAATGGATATAGTATGTTATCCTTAAGAGATAGATATATGCTATCGCGGACTTTTCTATAGACCTATATAAGATACACAATTCCACCATACATTAATTTGTTATATCTCAAAGGGTTTTAGTTGAAAGCTCCCAGACGTCTTATTTTTTCCGACACCTCCAACAAATATAGTTATATTTTAGCCAATGTATACAAAAACTTAACAAATTATATACTAAAACCTTCCTCTTGAATCACTCTATCTATTAAAAAAACCGCATTAAAATCCGATGCGTAGTTTTAAAGATTTCAGCATACATAGGGATATGGGGACAGAGAAAGCGACTTTGTTTTATACTATGTAGTGATCATATCAGTATGATTATACCATTGTGGTACTTTGCAATATCAATGGCAACATTAAGAAATTTGTAAACTGACATTTGATCACAGATTAAGTATTAGTTACCATTTGAGTTAAAGTTTGACAATTTATTAGCTGTTGTTGGTTTTAATGAAAATTATTTATCAATTTTTAACCTAAATACGATGCAGTGTAAGCATAACTAGTAAATCAAATATAAATAAAAAATAATAATATTTATACCTGTGTGATGAGAGCGTGTACATATTAAAAAGTATAATAATATTTAAAGATGAGTTACAATTCGAGTGGAAATAAAGGTTTCGGTTTTACTGGCTTTTCTATGCCCAAGCGAAACCCCTCGACTATGTCTTTACATGCAGTGCCACCCCCTTCGACTCCAATGCATGCTGTACCACCCCCTAGTTCGGGGCTGTCCAAACAGGGATACTCTACTATGAACTCAATCACTGAATGTGCAGTCACCGGCAATCTTGGTACAATAGGAAAAAAGCGAGCAAAAACTGAAGATGAGTAAGTGAATTACAAATAGTAAAAACAATTGACATATATTTATATAAACACCAATAATGTGAAAAAATTATTGTATGAATTTTATGCCAATAGATACTTTGATGAGGATGAGGAACCACCTACCCCTGCCCTTGCATACATTCCTGCCCCTGGAAGTCCCACTATGGAAGCTTCCAGTTCTAGGGTAAGATCAAAAGTGTTAATTGGTATCTCATAATCTGACTTATGATTTTTGATTGAAAAAAATTCAAACAAACATGTGATTAACTATAATATGTTAATATTTTTTTGTAACTAGCTCTTAAGTATATATTAGTACTTATTAGGAAGGTAAACTAAAGTAAAAAGAAAATTTATACAATTTTTTATTAATGTTATATTGAATCTTTTATAATAAAGGCAGATGATGATGAAGAGGATCCACTAGATGCATATATGGCAGGATTAGAACAGCAAGCAGCTAAAGACTTAAAAACCAGTAAAGAAAATGAAGTTAGTGGAAAAGGTGATAGTGGCAGAGGCACTAGGGGTGATATTGATGATATGGATGATGAAGAAAGCTATTATAAGTGAGTCCATTATTACTATTTTATGTCATTTTTGAAAATAATTATTTTCCTTGTAACTAATTGGAACTTAATTTGATTTATTATTTCTGGAATGTGGTCTATTCATATATTAAAGCCTTTCTGCCATTTGAATGGAGAATTCATGTTGCTATGTTGTATTGTTTTTTGTTACAATTTACCTGCCTCATTAATAGCTCACATATTCTTTAGCTATACATTTTTTTATTTATTCCATTTGCAAGGTGGATAATAAAAACTAACCCATATATTAATTTAAGATATTATGCTAAATGCTGTTTTTAGACATTATTGTATTATACATAATGATATATTATATATTCTTCAGATACATGGAAGATCATCCTCTAACGGCACAAGATGATGGTTCTGATGTGGAAATAGAATATGATGAAGATGGCAACCCTATACCACCCCCTAAGAAAAAGTTCATAGATCCATTACCACCTATTGACCACTCTGAGATAGAATATGAGCCTTTTGAAAAGAACTTTTACACTCCACACCCGGATATTGAAAAGCTTGATCATCAGCAAGTAGAAGAGTTAAAGAAGAATTTAGGAGTCAAAGTAAGTATATATACTTATATATTATACTAGCGGCTCACCCTCGCTTCGCTTGGGTTCATCTCTAGAAAAGCACAAACGGATCTATCCCACGGGAACCGTTCATTTTTCCGGGATGAAAAGTAACCTGTTGTTTGACCGGCAATATAAGGTATCAGCATGCCAAATTTTACTAAATTAGGTGGATAAGTTGTTGTGTACTAAGCTGTATAAGTTACTGTAGTTTTTTAACTATCCCACGGAAACTCTTTAATTTTCTGGAATGAAAAGTATCTTAGATGTTGACCAGGGGTATAAGATACTACCATGCAAAATTTCATGTTCTTTCGTGATGTAAGAAGAGAACTGACTCGGTTTTAAGCATTTTTTTCTAACCTCTATAGTTTTATTATATGTATAGTTAGAATAAATAACATATAATAAAACAGTAATATATAATAATGAAAATAGTTATAACGAGTGTACCTTAGGAGATAGACATATAGTATGTAGAACTTTTCTATAGACCTTTTTAAGACTTACAATTTTCTTGCACAATGTTTTGATCTATCTTTTAAGGTTGAGCCAACGTTAGCCATATAAATTTCTAAGGAAGATTCGATAGAACCAGTTATTGTGTTTTCCCGTGGGAATGAATAATTTGCCTGTCGTAAAAGGTATCCTAATGGCCATAGTCCACCAAGCTGGCCAAGTGCAGGTTGGCGGACTTCACATGTGTATTGTAATAAGTTAGAAATAGGATACTGTAAATTAATTCTGCGACGCCGCTGTGGAAGTAAATTCTAAGTTTCATAATGTTGTATTATAATAAGTTTCTCCGTCTTTATAATAGGTCCGCCTTGTAGGGTTGACCCTAGTAATAAAGAAAAAAGTTGAGTTAAAGAGAATCTCGACATAGAACAATTGATTTTAGAACACAGTAGACAGTGTACACTCTTCACTTACATTATATATTCCAACAGATTATATGAGCAAAATCTGGCTGGTGAGACCTCTCTCGCAGTAGTAAGTGGAGATTGTACACTGTCTACTGTGCTCTAAAATCAATTGCTCTATCTCGAACTTCTCGTTAATTGGTACAACACTCGAGGCACTTGCCGATAACTTAATATTTTTTTATTTGTGTCCGTCGGAAATAAGAGTTATTTCCTTTAAAAAGTAGTCATCCACCGTCGTGGAAAATGGATGTTGATTTTTTGATTGAGCAATTACGTCTATGTGTTGTTTCTTGTGAAATTTCTTTACTTTTATGTTTTTTATTAGCATTCCCAACATCTACACGTCCAATAATATAGGTTTTCTTGGCTTGCTATGAAAATATGACCAAAAATATTTAAGTATTATATAAATGTTACATTAAACATTTTTAGACGAAAGTTAGCGCGAATGTCATGGAACATCTTTAATTTATCTTGAATATTTTGCAATAATATTTTGTATATTCATTTTTTTACATGACTTATAATTTGTATATGAACATTAACGCTAAAATACAATACCTATTTAATTCGTTTACTTTTATAGATGACTAGCGACTCACCCTCGCTTCGCTCGAGTTCGTCCCTAACTTGCTTCCCCAAACAAACTTTCTTCCCCATTTTTACTCCCTTAAGGGATGATTTCCGGGATAAAAAGTATCCTATGTTCTTTCCAGGGTCTCAAACTATCTTCTTACCAAATTTCATCTAAATCGTTTTCGTAGATCCAGAGATTACCCCCTACAACGTCACAAACTCATAAACTCACACTTCACAAACTGATGAATTTTACCTCTTCATAATATTAGTATAGTATAGATAATATCATCATTAATTATTGAATGCAATGTTTACATTCTTTGTGTTGAAACTGTGTAATTATGTAGTTCGTATTAAAGTTTAAATAATTCGAACCTTATCTGAGGGCACAGTAGTGCCCCCATTCATATCGAGCAAAAAAGGGCACAGGAAAGGGGCAAAGGATGGTTCATCCTTTTCTCGCAGCCATTCAGGACATTTTCAACCTCCCTGTGTACGTACGTTCGTTGTGGATAAAGCTAGGAGCCTAAATTTTTAGTGACTAAGAGAAAATAATATAACTAGGTACATTCCCAAGTTACATTAAATTTAAACCTGCAGTTTATAACTATTGCAGGTCAAAGTTCTTTAATTTCGTCATTCACGCATCGATCATCATGTTTCTAAGGCACTTCTAGTAGACACATGAGCTTCAAATTTTGAACTCAATTAGAATTTAGCCTATAAAGCAAATATAAACTAAAACATCCCACAATTTCAGTCCCATTTTCTAGATATGCAACAAACTGCATAAATAACTTTATAATCCTATATGAATAGATATGCGATTACAAAGTTACTTTTGCAGTACATACTAAAAGTACATACGTCACTACCTAAACGGATAGGTAGGTAAATAATAGATATATTGTACAGTAAGTCACAGATGATGTCTTCTTTAATAATATATCTATATTGTACTTATGATTCGACGCAGCGTGGCGAAGGCAAGGATTAAGGCTAAATTTAGTTGAAATGGCTAAGTTATTCTATTTATTAAAAAAATAAAGATATGTAATATTCATACGGTCTCTATAAAATGTTTTTATTTAACTAATTAGGTAACAATTTATGACAAAGTTGTTAGATAGATACTTCCACATCCAGGTACTAATAAATTAACCGACGTTTTACAATAGATCTCACAGGTAGAAGGACTGCGAGATTTGCATTTTTTTTAGATGTTATGTTTTTGATAGGATGCTTTACTCTAGTACTAATTAAGTTCGAATTAACAAAAATAAATTATAAACTTATATCGTCAAACACATGGTATTGTGTCTAATGCAAAACCAGCTATGTGCTGCTAAAGGCGCGAAAAGTGTAACATTTAGCATATTACAAAATAGTACCTGGGCGACCGAGCTTTGCTCGGAGTTTTTGGCCAAAAAAAAAAAAACATTAAAAAAAACAAACAAAGAATTTGAATAAATACAAAAAAAACAAAATTGAAACTTTGTGTCCGACCGGGATACAAACCCAGAACCTGTGGTTGTCAAACTTGCGCATTGACCGCTTGACCATGATGCTTATATCTGAGCGTGCGAAATTATCGAACATAATATTTTGCGTGGAATTATTAATTATTAATTTATTGAAATAATGCAAAAGAAATCATAATAATAATAAAGCTCTATTTATTCATTTATTTATTATAAAGGCTTACTAACTAAATTTACATAAAAACATTTATTTAACATTATAATTTTACCTATCTGTATATACATTTAATTTAAAAGTATGCACAGCTTTTTATAAAAGTATTCCATTAAAATTTTATTTGGTTAAGAGTATATAAGGAGCCATTTTAGTTGTACAATAAAAAAAATGTCTATATCACATTGCTGAAATATAAAATTATATAATTTAGTGACTATTTATTAACTTATAATTTTTTAACTAATAATTTTGTAATCTGGAATTAAATTATTTTAAAAATCTTCATATTATTTGAAATGATATTGTATATATATAAATTATCATTAACAAATAAATAAATAAACAATCACAATAAATTAAATAATTCAATTGAGTAAATACTAAACATTTCACAATAATAAATATAAATAAAATTTCTTTCCATACATTAATTCTGACAATAGTTATAAATTAGGTATTTAATTTCATAATTAAATGTATTTATTTAGTAAATGTCTTTTTCATGTATAGACCCCTCTCGGTTAAAAGCCTCCTCCAAAGTAGTCCTGCATAGAGCTCTCCGTTGGAGATTATGCTTGTATGATTGCAAAGGGTTTCTTTTCAAATTTTGTTTTCAATATATAATTTGTTTCGGATATGCCTATAAAGTTTATAATTTTATCTTTGTGTTCTTTTGATTTGTTGTAGGAATTGCTGCTTTTAATTCTAGAAGTTTTTCTGGTGAAGATATGTATATCTTTGTTCATTGTATGTCTGTTTTTCTTTGGAGGGTTACGGTCGAACTCCCCCACAGTGACCGGCCGTACTGGTGGATAAAGATGAGGAGGTTCCTACGGTGTTTAATATACTGTATCTTGCTGTGTTGTTTTTAGTTGTTCCTGGTTATCATTTGTGTGGTTGAAAGTTAACTTTGGTTTTTGTAATATTAAGTCTTTAATATTACCAGGTATGGTTTTCTTTGTATGTTGTTTATTTGTTAGTTTTTGTTTATAATTGAGGTAAGGCGTTTCTGGAGATACAGGCAGACTTCTTTTTTATTTCCGTTTAGTTTAAGACTATTTTTTCCTCTAGTTCATGATAGGAGTTCATGAAAGTTCTTGCGCCTAATATGTCTTTCTAAATTATTTATTGAGGTACTTTGTTCCTGGATTTTTTTCTCAAGAACTTCAATTTTCATTTCTAACTGTTTAAATTTCTCATTTAAGTATATTATTGTTGATTGTATTTTTAATGTCTTCTTTCATTTCTAATATTTCTGTTTTCTGCTGTCTTATTTCTTGTTGCATGTTTATTAGCAACTTTTTTATGTCCTCCATCTTATGTGTGAAGTTGGAAGTAGAAAAGCTGATTGAAAAAAGCACCAATTATACCAAGTTGAATTGCAATTTTATACCGAGTATTAGTTTTTGAGGTTATAAACTTATGTTTTAATATTTGACGCTTTCACTTCACAAATTATTTTGTTTTATTGTTATCACACACAGAAAAGATGGTTTTGCACTAATAGTATCTTTAAGTTATGTTTGTCACTTTTATATTTGTTTGGTAGGTGAATTTTTAAAAGCTCATTTGTTCTTCAACACATCAAGACTTGATGATGTTTACTTATTGCCCATAGGTTTTATTTAAAAATTTATTTTTATTATTTAAATTTATATTTATTCTTTAGATTATTTTCACTTAAATATATTTAAACTTGATGTAAATACGGACACGATGTTGACAGTTGCACAGTGGCGCCGCCCACTCACCAGAAGTGACAATGCAAAAAATGTGAAAATGCAAAAGAAAATCGCATGAAAATTCGAAAATTCGCGTTTTTCCAGATATAAGACTAATCTTGATTTATTTATCGCCCCCGAAACCCCCTGCATGCTAAATTTCATGAAAATCGTTGGAGCCGTTTCCGAGATTCAGATTATATATTGATATATATATATATATATATATATATATATATATATACAAGAATAGCTCGTTTAAATATATAAGATTCTATGTGCTTTTATAAGCACATATCGTTTTTTTACATCCATTTTTGTAACAGAAATACATAGGGCATTTTGCTATTTTTGGATCTAGTAGACATATCACTAAATCGGTTATTTTGGAATATTTGGCTTACTGAGTACTATTAAATTATGTTAAAAACTCATTTTCGCAAAAAAAATGTTTGTCGGTTTTTGCAGGCGCAGCGACCCATATATTACCTATATTTGTCACTCATGTATTCACCATTATTTATAACGCTGACAGATTTAATTGTGCTTAATTGAGTTACTGACTGACTTAGTTGATTGACTTGTGCTTAAGTTCTAGTTTCCTATAAAAAAACATTTGATACTAGCGGCTCATCCTCGCTTCGCTCGGGTTCGTCTTTGCGTACGTTTTAACAGTTAGTATGGAAGAGATAGTCGATCTCTAGAATTCTCTCAAAAATAAAAACAAATATATCCCAAGGGATCCATACATTTTTTCGAGATAAAAAGTTACCTATGTGCTATTCCAGTTTCTGACGTTTTCCGTCGTATTTCCAGTTGTTCTAACGTAATTGAGTAACAAACATCTATCCATCCAAACTTTTGCATTTATAATTTTAATTGGGTTTCCTCAATAGATTTCAGGACCAGACCCCCCAAAACCGGTGAGCAGTTTTGGTCACCTTGGATTCGATGAACAGCTCATGAAAGCAATCAGACGCTCTGAGTACACTCAGCCCACACCCATACAAGCTGCCGGTATCCCCGCAGCTCTGTCTGGAAGAGATATAATAGGTATGTCAGTTTTGTCGAGTTGATGTTCGAATATTACACAGACATAAAATATAAAATGTATGGTTGAATCACTATTATGAATGCGAAAGTTTGTATGTGTGTATGTGTATTTAGTAACTGGACCAGGGACCGAAACACCTAGGTTTAGAGTTAAGTTAATACAATGGTCACCCATTCAAATTGATTTTAGAAAAACCTTATTAACCAATAATAGTGTAACAACCCACCTTCACTACATAATTGAAATACATAACAGAGTAATTCATAGAATGCATGTTTTTCCCCAGAAAAATGTGAATGTTTTATTAAATAAAACTATCTTTTCGGATTATTTCGCGGATTTATTTTGATTTTTGGTTCCCGACGTTTCGAATGCCAAAAATCAAAATAAATCCGCGAAATAATCCGAAAAGATAGTTTTATTTAATAATGTCAAACATTCGCGTAAATCTAAGAAAGTATTATATGAATGTTTTATTAATTTTTTTCTTTTTTTTACCTAGGTATCGCTCGCACGGGATCTGGTAAGACTGCAGCGTTCCTGTGGCCATTGCTGGTCCACATCATGGACCAGAAGGAGTTGGCCCCGGGAGATGGACCTATAGGACTCATACTAGCACCTACTAGGGAATTGGCACAACAGGTGAGTCATATAAACACAGAAAATACTTATGCCTTTAAATATATATAGGGTTACAAAATTAAATATGGATAAATACATATTTTGTCAGAGATTTATGAAATCTATGTATATATATATATATATATATATATATATATATATATATATATATATGTATATATATATAAACTTTTTAACAAAAAAATAAAAACCGACTTCAAACAAAAGCACTAAAAAGTAAAAAAATAACTGATTGGTAGTTTTCATTTACTATACATACCTAATCAAATATTTTCGAAGTTGGTGTGCTTCGCTTTGTATGGGCTGGCACCGATTTCGAAAATATTTGATTAGATATGTATTTAATAGGGAGGCTTTAATTACTTAGCCAAAGCACACCGACTTCGAAAATATTTGGTTAGGTATGTATAGTAAATGAAAACTACCAATCAGTTATTTTTTACTTTTTAGTGCTTTTGTTTGAAGTCGGTTTTTATTTTTTTGTTAAAAAGTTTTTATTTTTCCCTTTTTAGTGTAGACAGTAGTAGCAAAGTAAGAATTCTAACGTGTTAGGCTTGTCCAATCAAACAAAATAAGCCCAAACTCAAAGTATCTACTATTAGCCGTTGAAGAGTTCCACCTATCCACCTTCTGGCCTTACCATCAGATCAGGTCAACAATACCGAACCACTGTACTATCAACGGAAATAGAAACACTTGCAAAGTTTCAAGTCAATATGACAATTAGAAGTAGGTTAAATTCATCATTAGCTACTTTTCCACCCTTAGGGGTGGTTTTTTTTTTGAAATTTAAATGAGACCAATCTGGAAGTATACACTTTCAAACAACACAAGAATTGTCCAAATCGTATGTCCAATCGTCCAATAAATGACGTAGTTCTGAGGTAACAAACATAAAAAAAAATACGGTCGAATTGAGAACCTCCTCCTTTTTGAAGTCGGTTGAAAAATCGATGTGTGTATGTATGTTCTCTGTGGTCTCCAAAACGGCTAGAGCGAATTCTGTGAAATTTTCAGGCAATCTTCAGATTAGTTCACCGGGTGATCTTGTGATGAATTTTGGTAGCAATCGAAACTTTGCGCTCGGGCGAAGCCGCGGGTACTGCTAGTATCAAATAAACCATCACATATAGGTACATAGAAGTTACTGGTGTTTTCTTGCGGTTTCGTCCATGAATCGTGTACATATTATAATATCTTTTATAAATTATAACCCATATGTTTTTTATATAAATTATATTTCTGTATATTTTCAATAAAATCTGGTCTGTAGTTATTGCATCAAGGTATAACTAACATCCATTCATACATCTATCTAAACATTGTTTGTCTCAAACTTTTGTGTTTATAAAATTAATTATTAGTAGGGTTGAAGTATATGAATATTATGAAGCTAAAAAAATATTTTTAGTTTTTTTGTTTGAATATACTTAATTTTGAATATTTTATGGTAATTTTCTTTACAGATATACATGGAAGCAAAGAAATTCGGTAAAGTTTACAATATACGATGCATTTGTTGTTACGGCGGCGGTTCCAAGTGGGAACAGAGTAAAGCATTAGAAGGTTAGATATTATGATTTTTCTTCTTTTTCTTTAAGTTGTAAAATTTTTCGACACGGTAGTGCTCCCGCCATGTACAATAAAAACTACGAGGTAACAAGACTGGCACGGTCGTATCCTCCATTATTAATATTTAATTATAGTGATAGTAGATATTTAGTTGAATATATGCAATCACAAAAATTAGTTCGCCCTTGCTTCAAGGGGATATCGTAAATCTAGTGTAGTATGTACGGTGCAGATCCGTAGGTCCTGGGTTCGAGTCCCGGGTTGAGCCAAGTTTAGTTATTCGGTTTTTCTGTCAAGAAATTGTGAGTAACGCACCGGAATTGATTTAATTTGATTTAATAAATAATTTGACGACACGTTTGCCTCAGTGTGTAGTGAACCTACTTGCTGTGCTAGCGGTCGCGGGTTCGAGTCCCGTTGGGGGCACTCATTGTGTGATGAGTACGAATGTTTGTACTCCAGTCGTGGGTGTTTATATTTATAATATGTATGTATTTAAAGTTTATATATGTGTAGTGTATCAACTATCTGGTATCCATAACACAAGCCTCGTAGCTTACCATGGAACTAGATGGTGCTGTGTGTTAATGTCCCAACATATTTATTTATAAATTATTTATTGTTTGCAGGCGGAGCGGAGATAGTGGTGGGCACACCGGGCAGGGTGATCGACATGGTGAAGTGCAAGGCCACCAGCCTGCGCCGCGTCACCTATCTCGTGCTGGACGAGGCCGACAGGATGTTCGATATGGGCTTCGGTGAGCTGGATACGAATTATAATGATTTTACAAAGAATATAATATTATCTATACATATAATAAAATTCTAACTAAACCGAATCAGTACATTAAATATTTTTTGGAAAATCTTATTTAAATAGACATTATTATCAATACAGAGGCCGAAGCTGTAGATTTTAGAATTTTTGTCTATTTGTCTGTTACAGCATCACAGAAAACCTACTGGAGGGATTTTGTTGAAATTTAGTATGGTGATAGCTGGTTAACCGGGTCAACATATAGAATATTTTTTACTTCAACAAAATATTTCTTCTCTGAAAAATCTATACCAAACGTTAAAACGTAAGTAGGGACGAACCCGAGCGGAGCGAGGGTGACTCGCTAATAATTGTATTTATTAGGCAGGCAGTTGAGACAACTGATAATGTTTGTAACCTGCTTGTGCCCACTAGAAGATCATTATTACTTATTCACGTCAAATAGTGGCAAAGTGAGAGGTGGTTATTATATGTGTGTGGGTGTGTGCAGAGCCGCAGGTGCGGTCTATCTGCGGGCACGTGCGGCCGGAGCGCCAGGCGCTGCTGTTCTCGGCCACGTTCCCGCGCCGCGTGGAGCGCCTGGCGCGCGACGCGCTGCACGACCCCGTGCGCGTGCAGCACGGCGCCGCCGGCGAGGCCTGCCGCCTGGTCACGCAGCACGTCCGGTACGCGCGCACGCACACACATACACACGCTCTTGCTCGCACCTACACAATATGCGCACACACCTGCATGTATCACACGTATACGCATGAACACACTCAGCCACATAGATACACACGTGCAAGCATCTAATCACGTGTACACATGTACGCGCACGTATAATACATACTCGTACACACCTTTTTTTGTTTGATGTTTTTTCATACAAGGTCTTCAAGGGTTCTCTAACTTGTAGCTTAATCTTCTTTTAGTATAATAAAAACTTTCCCTATAACAATCCGAGGCTGTACCCTATAAATTACGATATCTTTAATGCTTTAATTATAAAATTGTACAATAAATATCATAATAATCGAAATGACATCGTAATTAAGAATTTAAATAGTATATAAGTTTATTCATTAATTAATATAAATTTTAAAAAGATAACATAGAATTTAATATTTTAACAACTTTATATCATGTTTAATAAACATTTATTTATTTACTAGCGACTTGCCCCTTGGACAAACGTCCAAAAAGACAATTGTTTTTTGGGCTAAGAACTTTTGCTCGCTTATAGAGAATAATCGACCGGAGTTTCATCACCATCAGATCAATAATGTAGAAACGCAAAGAGGACAAACATGCGCACATTTATTTTTATTAACATATAATAGATATGAAGAAGATGATAATAAGCTCAATATTTAATAAATAATATTATTCCAGAATATTCAACAAACCAGAAGAGAAATGGCCGTGGTTATTAGACAATTTAGTAGAATTTTTATCAGCCGGCAGTATCTTAATATTTGTTACAAAAAAGGTAATTAATTTTTAAATTTATTTTATAACCTGTAATAATTAATGTAATATAACATGTAATTAAATAAATTAAGTACTTTGTCAAAAGGATGCAAGTAAAATATCTATCTGATGACTGATTGGCATTGACATCTACATAGGAGGACATGGGTTCTATTTTAGCATATGTTATTTTATTATGGCTATAAAATAAGTATGTGTAATTAATTTGTATTAACTACAAAACGGGTATTTTTGTATAAGCGAATAGAGAATAGAGTGATACGTTACTACATTTTTTGTCTACTCCGTAAGGAAACATCAATATGAGTCAAATGATTTTAATAATATCCACCCCATAACTGGTTTTAGTTTTTAGAATGCAATATGCTTCGCCAACACCTCAAATCCTATATTACTGAGTATTTTTGAACAGAAAAACTTAACTGTACTTGTCCTGACCCGGGACTCGAATCCGTCTTAGGATGTGTTGTACATGTCAGCTCCTAAACTAACAAGGCATCATAAATGAATTAGGGCCTTTGCACACAACAGCTTCTTAACATGTGTTTATCAACGGTTATCAGCGTTTATTGAACTTATCAGCGGAGAATATGCGTAAACGATAGACATGATACGCGTGTCGTCGTCTATCTGTATACTAAACATCCAAATCCGTCCATCCGCTTTAGCGTGAAGGAGTAACAAACATAGAGACAAACGTACAGACAAACATTCGCAATTATACTGTCAAGTAAGCAAATAATTCTTAGATTTACGCGAATATTTGACATTGTAATAAAACTATCTTTTCGGATTATTTCGCGGATTTATTTTGATTTTTGGTTCCCGACGCGACGTTTCGAATGCTTAACAGCAATCATGGTCACGGAAGATACTAAGGTTTTAAACGTCTCAAAGGCGTTACATTAAAACGTCTAACTTAAAATGTAGTCAAATGAATGATTAAATTCCTTCCCAGTTGGAAGCGGAACAGACGGCAGCAAACCTCGGTATCCAGCAGTACGACGCGCTGCTGCTGCACGGGGACATGGAACAAGCTGACAGAAACAAAGTGATAACCGCCTTCAAACGACAAGAGAGTAATATATTGGTTGCTACCGATGTCGCTGGTATGTGCTGCATTGTAATTTGTTTTTTTTTTAGATATTGTTGTTGTATCTATAAATATAATGATGGGATTTAAAAGGTAAAATTGATATCGCGTACTGCTGAATATGTAGTAAAGTTTTGGTTTTATTTGTAAAATTTTATAACTTTTCAGATAATGAATGTTTTAATTAATTAAAGTTTAACGTAAATATGGTTAAGTATGCGTTTGAATATAATGGTTATAAATGTTTCTTATTATTAAAATTGGTAATTTAATATAAGATTGAGAAGCTGTGTGTTAACGTATAGGTGGTAGGTGAAATAGGTTTGAGAAGCTTTGCGTTAACATATGTTGGATAATTATTGGTATAGTTATGAGAAGTTGCAAGTCAATGTATGGGCGGTAGTCGAAACGTCTAAGAAGCTGTGCGTTAACCTATAGGCGGTAGACGTAATAAGTTTGAGAAGCTGTGCTTTAACGTGTAGATTATTTAGATGGTAGATGAAGTAAGTTTGAGAAGCTGTTCATTATAAAGATAACTGACATTGTGCCCCACTAGCCCGCGGGCTCGACATCCCGCATATCCGCACGGTGGTGAACTACACGGTGGCGCGCGACGTGGACACGCACACGCACCGCGTGGGCCGCACGGGGCGCGCCGGCGTCCCGGGCCGCGCCTACACGCTGCTCGCGCGGGACAAGGACCGGGACTTCGCGGGACACCTGCTGCGGAACCTCGAGGGCGCTCAGCAGGTACCGCCGGCACACGTTACTGGCACACTATTGGTAGCGCAACTACTAGTTGCTAGATATTGTTGAGGATTCTCGATGGCTCTCAGCAGATGCCATTGGCATACTCTACTGCCACACGTCATTAGCGTTCTTTCGACAAGTCATTCAGATACAGTGATATTTTAGCATTTTTATTTCTAACTAGCGACTCACCCTTGCTTCGTTTGGATTCGTCACTTGCTTTCCCATACAAATTTTCATCCCCATTCTCACCCCCCTTAAGGAACGATTTCCGTGATAAAAACTATTTCACTTACTTTTCATATCATGAGATTAAAAAAAATGTTATTTTATTAAAGAAATCCATTAATTTTCTATATTAAACAAAAGAAGCCTAATTTACTCCTTATAACATCAGCTATCATCTGCCAGTGAAAGTCCCGTCAAAATCGGTCCAGTCGTTTCGGAGATTAGCCGGAACAAACATAAAGACAGAAAAAATATTTAAAATTGTGTTTTTCTTAAGAGTGCCGTATATAATTCCATATGCATGTAAAAAAAGCTGTTACTTCGACATTACAAACAGACACTACAATTTTATATATCTGTATAGATACAAAAGCAACGCCTTGATGATTTTTTTTGACTAATATTATAGTAGTCTATGTGTTACTCCAGATATTATGTAGTCTATCTGCGTTCTTTTCATGCAAATCTGTCCAGCCGTTTCAGCATGAAAAGTAACAAATATACACACATAGAAACTTTCGAATTTATGTTTTTTAATAGTTCTCGCGCGAACGAAGCCGCGGTTCCGCTAGTAAATTATAATGTCTGTCATTCCATAGGAAGTACCAGAAGAGCTGATGCACCTGGCGATGCAGTCCTCGTGGTTCCGCAAGTCGCGCTTCAAGAAGGGCAAGGGCAAGAACCTCAACATCGGCGGCTGTGGATTAGGGTGAGGGTTTCGTTATATTATTTTTATATTACTCATGGACAAGTTTGTCTTATATAAAATAATTCAGATTAAGCTGTTATTAGTAAGCAATAAGCATATATTTTGGTGTTCGCAGTCCGTTTGTCTTATCATTAAAAAATATTATTTTTGGAGCCATATCAACTATGCACCAAATATCTTTAAAATAAAGAATATCGGTAAAATTCAATATTTATGTATAATAATTATATTGAAAATCAAACAAATCAACAATCTCAGACCTGTAAGATCCAGGATCTGAACCCGCTTTCAAAGCAAGCTCACTCAAACGTCCACCATCTAGAAGAAATATAAAATTTTCAAACACGTACACGAATGTTTGATATTTGAAATAAAACTACTTTTATTATACGCGAATTTATTTGGGATTTTGGCTCCCGACGTTACGAATGCTTTACAGCAATCTTGGTCACGGGAGAGACTAAGGTTTTAGACAGTCTCAAAGGTTTCTCCCGGGACCATGATTGCTCTAAACTTCTAAAGCATTCGAAACGTCGGGAACCAAAAATCAAAATTAATCCGCGAAAATATTGGAAATGATAGTTTTATTTAAAATATAAAACTTCAACTCATGTGCAGATACAAGGAGCGTCCCGGGCTGCCGCACAGCGAGGAGGCGCCGGCGCCGCTGCCCGAGCGCGGGCCCGCCACCAACCGCCTCGCCTCGCTCAAGCAGGCCTTCCGCTCGCAGTACAACCAGGTACGTGCACTCAAATCATTCATTCATTCGTGCATTCATTCACTTATCGTTCACTCAAACAAATATAAATTAGTAAGTAGATATATTGAGTTAAATGGATATAAAATAAATAAGATTTAAATACTAAAATTAACAAGCCGGCACGTTTGCAATAGTGTTTAATTTTTAATTTAAATAAATGTAGGTTATTCCTGACAGGAAAAATTGTTTTATAGGGTTGTGGTATCTCGCAAAAATCAGTGGCGATGGCTTGTGGATTTCTTACTCTATGGCCGACTTCGTTCGATCGAATACTGTCCATTTGTTAAGACATAATTTGGATTAGAATAGAATTAAGTTTGCACAGAAAAAATATTCGGTTGGATTACCTTTACATGAGGAACTCAAACCTAATTTACTCACTCACTCACTCATTTAGTAAGTAAACTCACTCGTATACTCACACATTACACATACATACATTATATAAATTTTCATTTACATATTTAATTTACAACATATATTTTAAGTAACTGTCACATTGTCGCAGTTCACAGCGTCCACAGACCACTCGTGGGAGCAGACGCGGCCGCCGCTGCAGCCCGGCGTCAACGCGCCCGCCGCCGACCGCGACGCGGGCGAGGCCGGGGAGCGCGGGGAGGCCGGGGAGCGCGGGGAGGCCGGGGAGCGCGGAGAGCGCGTGCGCCGCGGCGGCAAGCGCAGCCGCTGGGAGTGACGTGTATATAATATGTAAATGTGATTGTAATAATTGTATTAAATGTATAAGCGTTGGATTTGGTTTTATTTCTTATATGTTTTCGTACTACCCTCGTTTTATAAGAAGGTTATAATTGATTTTTTTTATAACATAGTGGTTGACTGCATTGATAATTAATGATATTCGGTGGGACATATTTTGTATCAGTAATGGAAACTTCTTATAAAAAATAAAATTTCTAAATTTATTTTAGTGCTCGCTTTTTTAACGTCGAGAACAAAAAGACTACGAAAAAAATCCGATTTTTTTTTTATTAAACTAAGGTTTTATTTAAACTGTCGAATAAAGTTGCGTAAATCTAAGAAATAAAAGTACTAGTTTAATGGGTTTAACGTTTAACCGCCTTGCTACCATCGCTATGACGCTTTACAAGAGTACGCTGTCTAAACTTCACAGTCTATTCCGATTAGCTTATTGAAACACACAGATAGCGCATTACATACGCTTATAAGCTTAAATGTAAGTTATGATTATTATAATTATAATGAATTAGCACAGAATATTTATGTCGCAGCCAACTAGCCTAATCAGACAGGCGTTCGTGCGATCGTAGCCCGACATCCCGGCATTTAATTTAACAACTAAACAAATGATTTGGTTCATTGTCGTTTAATGACTTGCCTAGCCTAAACTAAGTTCATTTGATTGGAAAGCATTTTTTTTTTAGTTCTAGTTGTTTATGGCACTCGCTTCGGCTCGTGCGTTGTGGTTATTGTTCTAACCTACCCTTTTTTACGAGTAAGGCGCGCTGTAAAGTGCTAAAAACTGAGTAAAACGTTCATTTAATTATATAACATAAATAAAGAATTCTCATTAATAAATCCATACCAGTATTATAAATGTAAAAGTGTGTGTTTGTTTGTTTGTTTGTTTGTTTGTTTGTTTGTTTGTTTGTTTGTTTGTTTGTTTGTTTGTCCTTCATTCACGTCGAAATGGATGGACGGATTGGCGTGATATTTTGTTTGGAGATAGTCGGAGGGCTGGAGAGTGACATAGGTTACCTACTTTTTATCGCGGTAGATTATCTAATTCCCTCGGGGAAACATGATATAAGACAATTCAAAAAAATATTTATGATCAGAATTACTTGAAACTTGATATTATTGCTCTTCAATAAAATTTAATAAATACGTGTTTTAGTATTTTTCAAAATTCATCCTATATGGGGGTAAAATAGGGGATGAAAATTTGTATGAAACTACCTTTTTAGACATTTTTTTTGAAGTTTTAGCGCGAGCGAAGCCGCGGGTTCTGCTAGTATTTCATATATTTTCGTCACACAATTACCCTATTCTATGAACGGCTTAAGCATCTGCCAGCCCGTTCATTAAATGTTGTATTAGACGCATTGGCTAGATATCATTTAATTAACATTTAATCGGCCTTTTAATTATTTATTAAACGATGCCGCTTAATTAAAAAGATGGACAGCTAATTAAACGGCTGATTCAGTTAGTCGGTTGCGACATATAGGTACATACTTTCCATTTATAGTATCTATTATTCTTTAAAAAATATATCGTCTTCGTCATAATAGAAATATATATTCGCTTTGATCAATGCAATACTGATATCGATTTACTTTACAACAAGATATCGGCCATATAGATACGGATACACTTGGCAAACATAGGTGTGAAAGTTTACATATAACATAAGTATGTTTGTTAAAGAGTGAAGCAATGCATTGTTTATGTTTTATTTAGAACTAGTACGGCCCGGGGCTCCGCCCGCGTTCAGATGACCAAAAACCAAATTCTTAGGTTTTACATATTAGTATACTCTTACATTGCAGATTTTTTATTTTTTCTCAAAAATGAGACATTTTCCCGCGGTAAAAACTATCCTATATGTTGACCCGGATAACTAGTCACAATCATACCAAATTTCATCAAAATCCCTCTAGTGGTTTTTACGTGATGCGGTAACAGACAGACAGACAGACAAAAATTCTAAAAACTAGATTCGGCAAATGTATTGATAATAATGTGTATTTCAATAAGATTCTTCAAAAAATATTTAATGTACAGATTCGGCTTAGTTACAATTTTATTATATGTATAGATAGATGATATCATGGACATTTTTGTAAAAGTATAGAATCTTCATAAATAAATAAGTATGTACATACAATTTAACATCATTAACTAAATCTAATGAGTCTGATTGGATGAAGTGTTGAAGATTGATGTTCAAAATGTGAATTTGTGTCCTAAATGAAACTAGAGCTTAGTTTCATTTAAGACATAAGTGGAATAGGAATCAAAAAATTTAGTTTTTACAAGTTTATGAAAATTATTCCGTTCATACCCCTTGGTAACTTCGTTGACAATACAATAATGTGGTACCTTAACAGTCACGGCGTCTGACAGTGAAGCCGCTAGGAACTCTTCAACTATCCAATTAGTTTTAATATGTAGGTCTGTTTTATTTATTAATTTTTATGATTAAATAATTTAGGTACCTAATGTTTACGATAACTTATATATCAAATGGCAAATACCAGTAATCAATAAAGTTTCCGTGGTTTACGAAATAATGTGTGTACACGACAACGACTTAAACTTAATATTGTCTCTGCCGTGCCAATCTATGCTGTAAATCATTTATTGAAAAAATCTAAATAAAACAGTAAAAAAAACCGAAGGAATAGTAGGTATTTTTTTTAATTGTTCCTGTGTGATTAATGGGAGTTAAGGAACATAAGTAGTATCTAAAGACTACCGAGAATTGCAGGAAAAATCTAGTAAGAAATAATTCTAACGTAGGTAGGTAGAGCTCAATCTACAATCGGCGATCGCGTGCCGCGCCACAGTTATCAGAATAAATTAAAACTTAGCCGACACCCATACCAACACAACGATTAGTTATTTCATTGTGGAAAATCTCTATTTAATACATGAATAAACACACAGTTTCGTCTATTTTGTAATAAGGAATATGCGTGTGATTTAAATGAAGGTGATATATATATTTTTTATAATCTTTATTGCATTTGAATTTAGCCTATATTAATATTTTTTATTTAATTTCTTTTTGATTAAGAAAATAATTATTAAAAAGTGCAAATATAGGTGGGAAATTTAAAGTAGTTGAAACGCAACGCCCTTGGTCAGACCGAGTATGACGTTAGAGTATAACATAACATAGCGATTAGCGATTTTGTCGCAACAAATTGCATAATTAAAAGTCATCATTTTTCTATGTATATCATACTGTGACGTCACGCCGGCGTTTAAAGTATTCGTATCGGTATGATATTTTTAATTTTTTTATACTAAATTTTAGTTTTTGGTGCTGAATATTTTTTTTAAATTATATAACGATGTAAGCTATTGTATTATAAAAAAATCATGCATATTCTCTATTGTACTTAGTCAATATTTAAAACAGCCAATTTGTCATTTGAAAAATTATCAGTAGGTATAAAATATATCATTACCATACCTACTAATTTATATATAGATACTAAGAAGATTTTAAATAAAACTATCCTATTATATATTTTCTCGGTTTTATCTCCTTTTCTCCGGATAGTCTCCTCCGTGACCATAATTCTTGTAATTTAAATGCTTCACAGTAAACCAAAACGTCAGAAACCAGAAATCAAAATAATTCCGCCCAAAAAGCCAAAAAGATTATATTCAAAATCTATACTAATATTATAAAGAGGTAGTTTGTGAGTTTGTGACGTTGTAGGGGGTAATCTCTGGATCTACTAAACCGATTTAGATGAAATTTGGTAAGAAGATAGTTAGAGACCCTGGGAAGGACATAGGATACTTTTTATCCTGGAAATCATCCCTAAAGGCGGTGAAAATGGGGATAAAAGCTTGTATTGGGAAGCAAGCTAGGGACGAACCCGAGCGAAGCGAGGCTAAGTCGCTAGTGTCAAATATTCGCTTTAATCAAGTGTCTGTAGCTACATATTTATACTTATAACTAAAGGAGAAGAGTTTGTTTGCTTTTTGTTCGAACGCCCTAATTTTAAGAACTCTATGTCAGATTTGAAAAATTCTTTTTGCATTTATTAGCCTATTATTGAAGGAGGTTATTAGCTATCTAGGCTAGCTAATGTCATGCTCGAACCCTTTACACGTGGAGCGAATATACATAAATGATTATCACTTGCCTTACGGATTACGGTTAATCGATTTTATATTTTTATTTTTAATGCATAGGTATCTTAAGGAGAGGTTTATATACTCGTAGATACATTTCAATAAAATTTAATCCGTTTCTTCATTACTTTTGTTTTGGAGTAGTAGCAGATACACTATTTATTACTACGGACTACTTACTACGAGTATATAGGGTGGCTAGAAGAAGTCTTTAATCTCTTCTAAGGATAAACCCACTCAGTGCAATAAAGAATAGTACCTATACATGGTCCTTTTTTTAGTAATAAGTACCTAAGTATGTATAAACTAGCGACCTTACCACACATCGCTCAGGTGCTTTTTGTGTTTATAATATTACTAGCAAAACCCGCGGTTTCGTACGCGCTAAAACTTCAAAAAAAAACTAAAACGATAGGTTTCATACAAACTTTCATCCCCTATCCCCCTTATGGGACGAATTTCGAAAAATGCTAAAACATGTATTTATTTAATTCTATTGAAGAGCATAAATACCAAGTTTCATGTAATTCTGATCACAAATATTTTTTTTTGTTTGTATTATAACGTGTTTTCGCGTGGGAATGAGATAAAAGGTAGCTTATGCCACTCTTCAGCCCTCCAACTATCTCCACACAAAAAATCACGCCAATCCGGCACTCCGTTTCGACGTGAAAGAAGGACAAACAAACAAACACACTTTCACATTTATAATATTAGTATGGATATGGATATCCAGGTAGTGACATTTTTTGGTAATAATACTAACTTTAGGTCATAGTCTGTATACTAAATTTCCTTCAAATCTGTCCAAGCATTACAGCATAAAGGAGTAAC